GTCGTAATGAAGAGGAACGACGTTCAGGACTTCAAGGTCTTGTTGAACTTCATAATCCCCGACATCAAATTTACAATGGAAGGGGAGAACAACAACCAATTGCCCTTCCTTGACGTAATCGTCACTACGAAGGCTAATGGGGAGATCAGAACTTCGGTATACCGAAAGGCAACGAATACCGAACGCATCTTCAAATTCCGGAGTAACCACCCCATTGGACATAAACCAATTTGTGTCAGAACTCTTTTCCAACGAGTTTAAACACACTATAATGACAACCACGGGAGAAGGGAGGAAGCGAAATACCTGCATCCCCTATTTACAGCAAATGGTAACCCACGACCCTTCATACGTGAGTGCCGAAGTGGACTTAACCGCCAATGATCTAACGATAATAAGCCGAAGTTCTGGCTCGCTATCCCCTACATGAGGAATGTTTTAGGCGACAGCAAGAATCCTGAGTCCCTTTGGGATTGGGGTGCCCCATAAACAGCAATCCACAATCAGGCAGCAGATAATGAGGCCCAAAGACCAGCTACATGCAACGGAACAATCAGCAGTGGTCTACAGCATATCTTGCTAAGATTGCAGTGCGAGGTATGTTGGTGAAACGGGAAAACGCCTCTGCACGAGATTGCACGAGCACCAGCTTGCAGTCAACCGCGAGGATAAGCTGTCACTGGTATATGGCCACATAGAACAGGAGAAACGCAGCTTCGCCTTTGGAGAAACAAGCGTCATCAGCCGGACCAACGACAAGATGTCCAGACTGGTTCTCGAAAGTTGGTCCTCAGTTGACACAATCAACAGAGCCATTGATCTTCATCCGGCCTGCCAAGCGCTACGTACGAGGCTTCAGTCAGTACAAACGGGGCTAACAGCACTGGCAAACAAATCGCGGCTCCCTCAACGGTTTTCACCTTCACAGCAGGGGAAAGAGCCAGCCGGGGATCAGACGACCGACGCGAGACAACGACCCACCGACGCACCGAAACAGCCGACCGTGATTCCCACATGCAACGGCATCTGA